GAGAGAGAGAGAGAGAGAGAGAGAGAGAGAACCTTCAAACAGAGATCAATTAAAAATTATTGATAAAACTTTTCTAACTATACATGTGTTTTGGTTCATTGAAACTCAATATTGATTACACTTTTAATCAAAAATATTTTCATAAAACTAATTTACAAACATGAACCTGATGTTACAACCATGGTATATGTTGATTCCACCAATCAATTAATTAATTATATAAATTACCAAGTTAAATTAAGCAGCCGATGTCAAAATCACAATAAACAATCAATAAAGTAATCTAAAGCAAAGGTTTGTTTTTACAAATTAGGGTTTAACTTATAAACAGGAAATACTGCAGTCAAGACATACTGCTTATTATTAACTATTCAATTTTAAGTCATTTAGTAAAGTGATTGCGTACAGGTGAATTTGTATTTTTAGCACTGTAAAACGATTATCATTTTAATTAATTGCTAAATGTAAACACCAAGATTATCTTACCCAAAACTAGCCTAATCATACTGTTTACACAATTTCAGTGTTTGGTATGCACTGCACTGTATGTTATGCATTGAATGTTTAGTTCAGTTTAAGTATGTTTTCAGTATTTAAACATCAATTAAAATTTATATTTAGAGTTAATTCTCCCAAAAAGTCTGTGTTTGAAAAAATGATGTCATCCGCGAGTGTATCACCCGTTGAACAGATCGCACCGCCCGTAGAGCTCAGCAAACCGTTAACCATCGATGAGCGCCAATTGATGACTCCCGGGCCCACTAATGTCAGCCAACGGGTGCTCAGGGCTTGTGGTTTGCCTGTTGTTAATCATATGGATCCGCAATTTTTCAAAGTACTCAACACTTTCACCAATCTGAATGAAAATGATGGGTATAACAAAACAACTGTTATCATGATCTCTCCCTATGTACAGGTGCTCCGAGACGTGTCGGCCGGCATTCGTTACGTGTTTCAAACTCGCAACCAATACTCGTTGGCCATCACTGGGTCGGGTACGTGCGCTATGGAGGCCGCCATTTGTAATCTACTGGAGAGGGGCGACACCTTTCTGGTGCTGTCGCACGGCTTATGGGGCGAGAGAGTGGCCATTATTGGCCGCAAACGCGGCTATAATGTGGTTGAGCTAAAGATTGGCAAATTGGGCGATGTTTTCAGTTTGAAACAAATTGAAGGTCTGTTTTTGCAAACATCAAACAAATGTATACAACGTTTACATAAATGTCAATTACAGAGGCTATAGTAGAGCACAAGCCAAAGGTGTTGTACGTATGTCACGGGGACTCCAGTGTCGGTACACTTCAGCCGATGGACAATATCGGTCGCGTTTGCCATCAAAACGGGTGTCTATTATTGGTGGACGCCGTGGTATCGCTGTGTAGCGCACCGCTAGACACGGATCGGTTGGACATCGATGTGGTTTATTGCGCCGCTCAGAAGGCTCTGTCCGGTCCGCCCGGAGTATCGATGATTAGCCTCAACGACAGGGCTGTCCAACACGTTAAAAACCGTCGGACAGACGTTGACTCCTATTATATGGACATCAATTGGTTGGCCAAAGCCTGGGGTCTGGACGACGACAATAACCACCAGTTTGTATACCATTACACGCCCGCCGTTTCCCTTATGTATGGTTTAAGGGAAGCGCTGGCGATGGTGGCCGAGGAGGGCATCAGTCGCACAGTTGACAGACATATGAAGTCCAGTCTAATTGTTCAAAAACATATCTCATCTCTGGGTCTGAAGTTTTTGGTTGAAAAGCCTGAGCACCGGTTGCCGCCCATACTATCGGTGCTCATTCCCAATGACGTGAACGGCAATGAAGTGATCAAACATTTGTTGGATTTCTATAACATTACAATCGCTGGGGGTTTGGGTCCGACCGCCGGCAAGATCTGGAGGATAGGCTTTCTCGGCGTTAACGCCAACGACCAAAGTGTAGGCGTTTTGTGTCGGGCTTTGAGTGACGCGATCGCCGACCAGAGAAAGAAATCACCAAAACTATAGACTATTTGTGTTGTTTTAAATTGTATTTTTATTTCTCAATTTTATTTGCAAATTAAACATTATTTGTATTTTATTTTTATTATTATATAAATGAGAGTTATTTTCTTATTACCACTCTGTTTTATTGAAATGTTGTTTTTCATAGTTTATTAACATATTTGCTAAGAAAATAATTAATTAAAACTTAATTATTAAAATACAATAATATAAATAATTATGTCGAAATATTTAATGTATAATTAAAAGTGAGTAAAATTTAAAAATTAAACACAATGCTTGTTATAAAATGTGCTATTATTTACATCACAATTATAAGTATAAATTCACAACAAAAAATAAAATTTGCTTTAATTATGCTATAATTAAAAACAGTGTTAACGGAAACGATGGCCAAAGTGGAGGACACTATCCAAAAGATTAACTCGTTGTCGCCCATCGATAAGAGGGATGAAGTGATAGCCTTTCTGTTCAATTACGGCGATCCCAGATTCTCGTACCCATCCATCACTAAGATTGGTAAAGCCTGTTATATCGATCTCAAGTATGACCATGATCACATTATATACCACTTATTATATACATTACATAACATAATTAAACTGTTAATATATGCTTAGCTCGTTGAAGGGTGACCTCATTGAACACATCGCGAAGGAATATCGGGGTAATAAAAAGGTACAGAAAGCGGCACAAGTGATGTTCGAGTCGGCGCTCATACCGGAGGCCGAGTGCAGGAAAGCGAAGGGACCGATGGCTCGTTCGGGCGATAAACAGACGCGGATTATGAATGAGAAACGCTTTGAGGCCAAAGACTACCGACGCTTCCTCGAGAACATACTGGCGGACGCGGCCCGACCCGAGACCACCATCAAGATGTCACAAATTGTCTGGTAATACATGTTTTGTTTTTAGGGTTTTAAGTTTTAAGGGTTGACTAAGTTTTGGGCCATTTATTGCAGTTTTTTAAAACTTTGGATAACAAAAACGGTGCCGAAGTATCCGGAAGAAAATGGTGTCCGAAAGCGAGTGTCCACTCATATCAATGAAGTGATGGATCCGTTGATCGAGTATTTGGACACTTTGGCCAAAGACAAGACAAAGAGTTGTGATTTTTACGACTACGAGGAATTGCATACAAAATCACGGTTTAAATCAATTCAATTGAATTTAATCGATGCCATCAATAACTTGACCAAAAAATAACACAAAACTAATTAAATAAAACTATTATTTAATTAAATAATAAAATTTATAAATTGTATTTACATTTCAAATGTTCATTGAAGAGTCAAAATGGATGAAAAAATACACAAAAAAAAGTTTTGAAAATAAATTAAGTGATGATTAAAATCAAACTATAATAACACAGAGTGTTTTGTTTACGCAAATGTGATCACATGTTAATCAATGATAAAAAATCAATGTCTAATTTAACATGATAAAACACCGCATCACTCGCATCCCTAATCTAATCCACTGTTAATCCTCTTTCAAAGCAGTGGTAATACCAAACATGAGGCCAAAGCCGACGGCCATCGCCAGGAACTGAACGATTGGCGACAGTTTGTCAACTCTGGTCTTCTGGAGGATCTCGAAGAAGACAATGTATAGTATGGTTCCGGAGGCGATGGCGCTCAACAGTATGACCACAGGATTGGCTTCGCTGTTGTCCATCGGTGTGGACTCCTGGGCGACGATCACCACAAATATACCGATGGGTGACATCACCGCAAACAGACTCATGTGAAACACAACCAGCAAAAAGTGGCGACACTTTTCGTATAACTCGACACCGATTATGAGCGCAATCAACAGTTTGTGTGATGCGATCGCTATAAACACTGTCCACACTTCGGATGAGTTGCTTCGGGAGGCGATGGATATGCCGTCGAATATGGAGTGAACCGAAAACGTGCCGATAATCACCAATCCGTGGATAAATCGTGAGACAGACTGTTTGGACAGCTTATTGTCTTCACAACCTATGGATAATTAAATGGTTAAGAAGTTAGAGAGAGAGAGAGAGAGAGACTACAAACCTGGATATATTGAGGAAATAAGAAAGAAACAGCTGTTGGAAACCGATGCACAACGAGATGACCAAAAATGTTATACTAAACCATCTGAAGGACAGGCCCTCCAAGAGGTGAGATTTGGCGTTGAAATAGAAGTAATAGTAAAGAGATATCCCGAAGATTGCCGTCGCTATGATTGTGGCCAAGAGGTTCGTCACAAGCATTCCCATCAACAATACCTTTCGCCTCCTTTTCGTCAGATTATAGATTAAAACTCTGCCCATTGTTTGGATGTGTCGATCAGTCCTTTGGATCAAATTATTGTGATTCAAAATTAAGTCTTTATTTTGTTTGCAGTGTTTTTGCACTAATAAAGTAATAATAAAAACCGTTATTAAAACAAAACCATTAGACTATTTTGCATTTAATTTACTGTCACAACAATTAATACTCACGTTAATTACATTTTGGTATTACAATCAAACATTTGCACTATTTTATGCCAAACAATTAAATTAAAAATAATAGCATGTCTTATGCTATGATTATAAATTGAATTTATATTTATTGAACATTTATTACAGTAATTGTCAGCATTTTATAGTTTATTACAACTTTATGGACAACATTCAACACATTATACAGTATTAAAACCATAATCAAACATCTAATAAGGGATGGGAATGGCCTCGACGGCAATACTCTCAACACCCTTGGAGTTGACGCCACGTTCAATCTGGAAGTAACCATGGTCACCCCAGGAGGCGCCCCAACTGTTTTTCACGATCCAGTATTTCTTACCAGTCTTAGCGTCTTTGCCGTAACCGACGATCAGCACCGAGTGGTTCACCTCAACAAACGGGTTGTACTTTCCGTTGTCGTGTTTCACTTCAGTCGGTGTGTATATACCGGAGCCGTACGACACAAAGTCGTCAAACATACCGTATCTGAACGATATGGCCAGCGGTCCGTCGTTGACCAACGAGATCCGCATCAGCTCTTCATTACAGCCGCCATAATAGCCGCCCACGTATTTATACGAAGCCGTGTATATACGCTCGGCTCCCGCTTTGGTCGTGCACTTGCTGTCTGATCCCTTGTACGGGTTGTTGGCCTCCAGAGTGACGCCATAGTCCTGCGCGTATTTACCCTAATAATTGATTTGGTACATAAGTTTGATAAGTTTGGTGTGTATTAATTTAGACAGCAGGATCTATAATTTAGTAAACATACCGCGGTTAAATAAGGGAAACCACCGGCACAGCCCTGATTGTACAGCGAACAACTGACCACATCCTGTTCGGACAGGTCGATAGACTCGGTGTTGTTGGACAACAGTTTGAGTCGGCCTTCAATCATACCCAATGAACCGAAAGCGTAACAACTGCCACAACCACCTTGGTCACAATTGTATTATTAGTTTAGTTTTTAACTGATTACATGTTGTGATTTGTGCTAATAACTACCTTGATCCTTAACGGATGTCACGTAACTGACCCCGCTGACATTTCGCCAGTCAAAACTCTCGGGAAGTGCGTCGGCCTGTGCCTGCACTTCAGGTGTGACGGGTGCTGGCGATGGGTAACTATGATATAACCATGTTAAGTATTAAAATTATATTAATGTAAAAATAATAATAAATAGTGGACTCACTTAAAGATCCTAGAGTTGGGTCCGCCGTGCATGTGATGCATGTATTTCAGTGACTTTCCCTCGAACTGTGGGTAGTGTTTGGCGGTCCACGAGCTCTGAACGGCGTTAATCTTGTCGACGACATCGGGGTTTTGTGTGAAGACACCGGCGCTGAACGCCTCCACGTCATCGATGGTGTGCGTCTTGACGGCGTGCGGACCGGTCAGCCGTTGGCCCGAATAACAGGCCCAGTTGTGGCCGAGCGCGTCGTGAGACCAACCGCCCGGTCCCTGGCGTGTGGTTCGGTTGCATATCGAGGTCACAACGTTTCCCTTTTGGGTGTAGTCCGAGAAGGAGTAGTACTTTCGGTTATGGATGATAACCTCAAAGCCCTGGTTGTAGACCAGTGTCCACGTGCCTGTGCGGGTGGAAATGATCGTGAAAAATTTGTTATTATAAGTTTACTAGATGTTTGGTTAGGTAATAATTGAACTAGATTGTCTAACCATTGTGTCCAAACTCATCGGTGGCGATATTGGGATAAAGGAGAGTGACTTTGAATTTGTTGGCCACTTTGAAGCCGACCTTCGGGTCGCAAACCTCTGTCCTTTCGGCGGTTCGGGCGGACTCTGAGAACTCCCAAACGCCGCGAATCTCTTCGTACGAACAGTTGACGGGTGTGTCGGCCGTGAGTTCGCCCACACATACGATTGGATAATTAAATGGTTAAGAAGTTAGAGAGAGAGAGAGAGAGAGATCACAGAAAGTCTAGTCTCATTCTTAATGATATCTTTTCAGTACAATTTCAAAGCACAATTATATTAAATATTCACACGTGTTAAACATAATAAATGATATAAATGTTTAAATAATATTATCTAAAAATATATAATATCTTAATTTCACTTTTATTTTATCGTATATTAAGAGTGGAAAAAATATATTAAATACAAAGTTTGTGCGACAATTGTTTGGTTGATTGCCTGCGAATCAGTGATAAATATATAATATCTCTTCACATACACTAGTATTGACCCGATTTTATTGAAAAAACTGAATGTCATTAAGTGGTAAGTTATTATAAGATTAAACCCCATGATCAATTATAACAGATAAGGGGTGGTTCACAAACTACGGTCGCACTTGGAGAAGGGGGTGTCGGCCAAAGCTAACTTTTGGGAACCGCATTTAAATAATTTAAGGGATTAGTTATTATCAAAGTAAATGTTTTCATAACAACGTTTTGATAACAAATTTTGAATAAATATATGACTTGAATAGAGTTTTTATTTTATTTAGAAATTCATATCTCCTGAATGTCAACACAAAAATTATGATCATTTTTTATACTAATATAATTAATTATTTTGCAGTTTGAGACATTATTTATAAAATAATTAACTTATAAATTAAAATATAATGTTGATAGAAGTGTGTTAAATAATCATGGCAAATCACACTACCCCTCATACAATAAACAATATGAAAGCGATTAACCCTGATATATATTGATAATGTCAACACATAATTTATCATTTTTATCGAAACATTTAGTTATAGTTTCTTCGAGAAAATGAGTTCATAAACCAAATATAGTAATCAAATTAAATAAGTGTTTAATTTAATAGAAACTTCAGATCAATACAAAAACTCAAATAATTTACCATAAGCATATCGTTAATCAATAATCATAGTAACTTAACATTTAACAGTTATTTATGCTTATTTAGTTCACATTCAATTGACATTTACATACAGTAAACTATACGCCCCCTTTTTATTTATTTTCTGCACAAAATAAGTAATTCATACTTATTGCATTTAACCATGTTTTTATAATACATCAAGTAGTTTATTTACATTATTATTTTAATAACTGTGTAAATAATTCAAGCATGTTTATAACATATTAAATATAGTGCATATATTTATCGCTCGTTAACCTAGCAGGTAAGTTTTACACACGGACCATAATGTTTTCAAAGTGCGCTAGCGCCAAACACTGCAATTTAAAGTTTTATTTTTAAAAAATATAATTATATTTTACAATACAATAATAAATGTATACATTTTAAATGTCATTTATATTTAGCGATGAGTTTATTAATCACACGATTCGTATCGGCGGTGGTGTTGTTTGCGCTGACACTTGTTGTGGGAACGGTTCCGGTGTTGTGGTACCAATCGTGGCTCCGACGCAAACGTCACCATCGGATCCGCGACAATGAGATGACCGCCGAGACCAGCCTTTCGGACAATTTCTACGTCCAGATCGTGACCCAAATGGGCGGAGGAATACTGTTCTTCACGGTCTTCGTCCATATGATACCAGACGTGAGGAATAACTTTGAGATATACCTCAAGAGTAATCACTCGGTATTCAACGACAACTCCGACGGCAACTCCGGCCCCAAAAGCATCGAAGATCTGAGTCTTCCGTATCTGGAAATTGCCATTTGTTTCGGTTTTTTCGCCATTTATTTGACCGAAGTTTTGATGCATTCACTGCTCGACCGAAGAAGAATCAGGTATTTATCACATTATATCAATTGGCGAACGAAGAAAAACACTTATTTATCAAAACATATTGTTAGTTACCGGACGGGAAGTGTTAAAGAGTGCGACGAAAGGACACCAATACTGAACAGAGAGCACCGACGGAGTCGGCGGTCGCCCAGCAGTCATAGTGCGGACAACGACTCGATTGTCATTGTTATTGATCACAGAAGTGAGTAAACCATTGCATTTACAACCTTCTCTCTCTCTCTCTCTCTCTCTCTCTCTCCCTCTCTCCTGTATCAGCACAGAATCCGTTTAGTAAGACTGGGATTAAAAATGCATTTCAAAATTGTCAATATATGTATCATAGTTTTATGGATTATATTCCCTGTCGTTAATCCATATATGGAGTAAATATAGGGCTTTATTTTAATATCTTTAAATCTGTTAAATTTATTTAGTATTAAAATAAAGAGCGCATATTGTCATGTGTGCTTGTGATTTACTAATCTATAAGATCTTATACTTTGTTATATGAACGATAAAATAAACTATTAAGCCTAATCTACATAAATATTTATCTATACTGTAGTACTGTATACATTGTTAATCTTATTCTATCCGCAATACAGCATATTTATGTTTCAAAAAAATCTAAATTATTTTAATTAAGTTAATATTTATTCAAACAATTAAAAATAATACAATAAATTGTTGTCAATAAGAAGTTTCTTATTATGGTTTGAGTTAATATGATTTGTTCGGTTATATTAGTTAGCAAAATACATACAGAAAAATAGATTCATGAGTAATTATAAATAGTTATAAAAATTAAATAAATAAAATAATAATGATATCAAAACTACTCTATCTCTTCCTGGATTTCAGCAACAATGCAATGAATGCAAAAACTCTAATACAGACAATGAGCACCAGTAATATAAAAAGATCTAGGGCGAAATGGTCTTCGTTGAAGCTTAGATTATTGATCACTACTTTGCCATTTGGTATACAAGAAGTGTTCGCTCCGGGAATCGCTGGACAGTCGATGTGATCGATGTCTCGCCACTGATTGATGACCAGAGCTTCGTTGCCGTAATAAAACCATGATATATATTTAATCCACCCTAACCAAACCGGTGTTGATCTATGTTAAACATAAAAATATCATAATTAGTTTAAATAAATTTTAATTTACGGTCATTTTAATACTTACTCTGTATTAATAAAAAATCCTCCAAATATCATGAGTGGTAACATTAATGGTGGCGCTATCGATAGGGCCATCGTTACGTTGCTGCTTATGCACGACACAAAATAGCCTGTAAACAATTAAATCAATTATTATCAAGGTAAATATTTTTATAGATTGTAACATATTATATGAATCTACGTATAGATAGATAGAAATTACCAAAACTGGTGGACGCGTGAGCGACTAAAACACACGCCAGGATACATAACAATACTTGTTCGGCACCGTTGTTCAGACCAACCATGTAGTAAAATATCACCACGAATATTATGGGTACAAATGTGAATGATGGAAACTGTGATATGGGCAATTAAGTTTTAGATTTATTATTATTATTGTTATTATATAACCATATTTTATAACAAACCTCTGCCAACTGTTTGGCCAAGAAATATGTGCTAACTCTATACATGCCATTTTCGTGCTCTCTATGATAAACAGGTAATTCACCGCAAAATGTCTGCAAATTTAATATGATATTAATTAGTGGTCAAGTAATTAATGTAAAACAAATTATTAATTACATTAACGACACCAAAAAGACTCTGAAAATTCATATTTGTAACCAATAGAAAGAGAGCGCCGTTTATATCCATTATTCCCTTTTGATCCATATTTAATTGCCAATAGATTGCACCAAATACGAGAGACATCATCTGGGTAGATTTAAGATGCAACAAAATTAACATGATTTATATTTATATTGTTATGTAAATTATATTATCGTACAATTGTCTGCACTATTCGGACAGTTGTCAGCAATGGTTCCCTCATAGCTGTCAGATTTGATCTCCAGAGTAGTGCCCAAAACTGTTTAAACCAATTGGCTTTATATCCGGAATTTGATGAATTGTTATTAAATATTAAATTATCATGTTTTTCGTGCATTTCCTGCGGTAGGGCTTCCCTCTCATAAGTGCTATTTTTATAACCATCACATATTTTCTGTTTACAAAAAAAAATAGTTTTATAAAGCCTTAGATTAAAAATAGCTTTAGATTATTATAGTTATAAAAGTTCCATGTAAATTTACAAACCGTTATTTTCTTTTTGGTTTCAATTTCATTGCCAGGAATTACAGCCAATTGGTTGATGTAAAAATCAGCGGGGTTATAATTGTTGGGACAAACCAGGTCTAAACTGGCAAAATATTCAATGGCTTTCTCTGTTTAAAAATAAAAAGATATAATTTATGTTAATTATGAAGTAATTACAATAATTACAAAACTCATAATATTATAAACTAAATAATGACAAATAAATTACCGGCTCTGCCTAAGAAGGCGACCCTTCCCTCTGCCATAAGCAACAACTGGTCAATCATTGCGAAGGCCTGAGACGAGGGCTGATGTATTGTGCAGATGATTGTACGCCCGGCAGAAGCCATGTCTTTCATCACTTCCATTATATTCATTGCCATAAATGAGTCCAATCCAGAGGTCGGCTCATCGCAAAACATCACCGATGGATCCGTTAGTAACTAAATATAAAAGCATTTATAATTATAAATAAACAAAAATCTATTGCATAAATTGTGGTAATAATTACCTCCGAAGCGAACGACAATCTCTTTCTCTCTCCACCAGAGATGCCTTTTTCCACTTCCGGGGCTCCGATGCGAGTGTCCGCACATTTACTTAAACCCAACTGATTATCATTCAAATAAAACATTATTAATATAATTCACACAAAAAATCATTCCCAAAAAATAAATCTTACATCCAATAAAACCTCTTCAATACGATTGTCTCTAAACTGTTTAGAGAGTGTCTGATCCATACGGAGCTGGGATTGAAACCACAGGTGCTCTCTAACAGTGATGTTTGCGATAAACACGTCGTCCTGTTGTACGTAAGCCGACATCGATTTCATTAGGTTTCGATCCATTGGTTTGCCGTTCATTTTGACCGAACCCTCGACCGTAACCTCCGATAGATTTCTTTGGGTTAATGTATTCATTAGTGTTGTCTTTCCGGCGCCACTAATGTTTGCCATTCAAAATTCATTAATGTAAATATTAATCAATATAGATTCATGTAATTTTAAACATACCTAGATCCCATAATAGCTAATAACTGTCCACTATTAGCCCGACCGGTAACTTTAGGAATAGGTAATTTTACAATTAATTAAGATTGTTAAGTATAAAAATGATGTATAAATACCATTTTTGAGTATATGAACAGTTGGGTTGTCTTTCTTCTTCTTAAATGGCAGTGATATTCCTCCGGAGGGTTTGCTGAAGACATCGATGTTATGCCACGAAATGGACACCGGATTCGATGCTTTGCTTATTTGACGATTCATTGCAATCTTATGGTCTGTATTTGCAATCAAGTTATTGTCAATTCCGTGTATATTATCATTATATTTAAAACAAACCATTATTCTGGGGATAAAAACCAAAGTTATTGTCCACTCTTTTATCCAATTCTCCATTCATTTTCATTTTTTAAAAAACAATGATTTTTCAATAATAAGAAAACATAAAAACTTTTTTATTTAATTGTGTTTTAAGAGAATAAATCAATTCGTTATATACATGTATTTACAATCATAAAAATAGGTGTAAGACAATTGATATAAAACCAATTTGACGTCATTTTTACCATCATATCTTTTCGCAGCTAAAATAATCCAAAAATCTTTACTAATAATGCAATACATGGTTAATAATAGTGGGTTTTTATCACGTTTACATAGCTATTATCTAATTCATTATTTATATAATGGTAGGTATATAATGGTGTGTATACTAGACATACAGTATTATGCAATAACTAAACTGTATTTTAGTGCAAAAAAGATGCAATTTTAACATTAGTTCAGTAATAATCGGTTACATTGTTTGCACTAAACAAAGTGATCTTTTATCGAGTTGTAAACTCATATCTATTTTAACAATTAATATTTAGTGTAAATATAAGGATATTACAAAACTTTTGCGCGATGTGTTTTGATCACCATTTGGGAACAGCTGAAGTGAAAATATTGTCACTTTACACATATATAGATCTATGGCCGGAAATTGTTTGCACATAAAAATATTGGTGGTCACGTGACTATATTTTGTGAATATGGACTATTCACGAGACCCCTGGTCTAAACCTACGGTGTTTATGAGAGGGAGGGGTGGGGTTAGGGTTGGGTAGTAGAGATATCAAAGTGTTGTTACAACAGCAATCGTTGTATTGCACGTTTTCAAATGGCAGGCTAACAAGCTAAGCCAACTTTTACATGTTAACCTATGAGACTGAAAATTTGTTTTTTATATTTAAATATAATTAATTACTGTATATGGTTTAATACTACATTAAGTTCTAATAATGTTAGTCAAAAAAAATATATTGAAGATCACATTCCAATGATAAAATATCGTGGTTTGAAGTACTGTATATAGTTTTTAAGATTTTTATGGCTAAAACTCAATAATTTAATTAACAATATTTTGTCTATAGAATGAGATTTTTCAAAAAAATAGTTTATCAATTTAACGTTGTCATTACTAATGGCACATTATTATTATCTTATAATCGGATTCATACTAATTAGCATTTTCTTGTCGAGAACTTATAAAACTTATGTCTATTTAAAATTTAATAATTTTATGTATTATTTGATAACTATTAGCCAATAGGCTTAAACTGAAAAGTGTTATTTTAGTATTAAATAGACAACTTAAATAATAAATCTGTATTCAACATAATAAAATATTGTTAAAAACACAATAAAATTCTGCGAACAGGCATAATTATGAAAGTATTAACAAAATTAATTTTTTTAATTAAGGTAAATTTCTCAATTTTTGTGCTATATAATAATAAATATAGATTCATGATCGTTACGATCTTGTTAATTTTAATTAATAATATTATGTAATATTATGCATAGTATACATTGTACACATTTATTTAAACCTAATTTCACCGAAATCGACCAGTTGTAAGGGATGTACTTCACTCGTTAGATTAGAAAATATTTT